ATAAAAAAACTGAACTCTTAACTCTGGCGGCAGATAAGAGTTCATAGAACACACGCAAACCCCCCCGCCCCACCCCAGAAATCAAAAAATAATTATTAACAATAAAAAAACTGAACTCTTAACTCTGACGGCAGGTAAGAGTTCAGAGAACACATGTGACCCTCCCCCTCCCCAGAAATGAATAAATAATAATCAACAATAAAAAAACTGAACTGTTAACTCTGGCGGCAGGTAAGAATTCAGAGAACACATGCAAACCCCCCCGCCCCACCCCAGAAATCAAAAAATAATGATTAAACATAAAAAAACTGAACTCTTAACTCTGACGGCAGGTAAGAGTTCAGAGAGAACATGTAATGAACACATGTAAACAATCCCCCTGCCCTCCCCATAACAAAATAAATAATGATCAACAATAAAAATACTGGACTCTTAACTCTGAAGACTATTAAGAGTTCAGAGATACCCCTAGAATCCGACATAGAATCCGACATAACCCCAACTCTGACCGAACTCTGAACTTTCTCTGAAATCATGGAAATATTCAAGAGTTCAACTCTGACGTCAGTCCGCTAGGGATTGCCCCCATATCAAAACTCAATAGGGTTTTGAAACCCTATGAGAAGTCTCATAGGAAATCTTCTTTTAAGAAAAGAATGTAACGTTTTTTGTCAGCAATCTATTCCGCCATGCCTATGCTTAGGAATATTTCCATCTTAAACTTGAATACCTTTTTATTTAATTTCTTTCAAATTGTCTGTATTAATTACCTATTATATATATTATAATAAAGAAAAAATAATATGATATAAAAAAAAATTATGTTTACATTTTTATTTTTTCATTCATTTCATTTTTTTAATATAATTTTTAGATATATTATTGATATCTTTATATTTTTTCTTATATAAAGAATTTCTAATATTTTCATAAATATATAGATTTTGAATCAGATATGTTTAGACAGGCGTCTATGAAGTATGAAGAATCTGTAATTGCAATCATAAACTAGATGGCCACAAGTAAGTCATTTATGAATCGATGCCCAAGAAACATAAATAGACACTGCTTATGCCAAATATATTGCAAATATGTTGCAAGTTCAAGTATGCATTGTTATTAAAACCGAGTGCAGAATTGGCAATTCCACGTCAACGCTACCTGAAGTTTTGGGACAATCTGATGACTTATTCGGTAGTTATACAAATCAGCTGAATTCAATTAGTTATAAGAATCCTCAATTAAAATTAAAATAAGTACCAGCAACGATAAGAAATCATGTTGATGTTTAAATGTATTTTAAACGCTAATATGCATTGTATCAGTACATGCGGAGCGGCTTAAATCTATGGCTGTATTGAGTTTACTCGTTCTTATGGATGTCCAAGTAATTCGTGCAATTTTTTCTGAAGAAAATCCTTTTCACAGTTTATGGAATATATCAAGAATAGTTTTTAGACACAATATCAAATTTAACACATTGCATCCGTAAGAGCTGGATACTCCCGCCTTTAATGAAATAATTTATATTCATAGTGTTTTCTCGTACATGTAATCGTATGACTTTGTTCGTTGTACTCTCTATTTTTTTTTGCGACAGTGAAAAACATGAGTTTTCAAATGGATAATTATCAACAATTGAATTGAAAGTCTCTTGATTGTTAAGGCCGACATATTAGGTGGTTTCAAGCGACGTGTTCTTGACGTCTGTCAATGATCTGTTCAAGTGCCTACTCGGAACAAATTGGCGAGGTTATAAGGAATACATGTGCAGTGTTGCCGTATGATCATTCGAGGTTAAACCAACTAAGGTTAACTGTAGAATTCAATAAAATATTACTCCCGATATTTATTGAACAAAATCCTCCAAAAATTTATTCAACAATGAAACAAGTGGATAATCGCATTTTCTGTATATGGGCATAGTTTATGTTACTAACAAATTAGCAATATGCTAATTAGAAAAATAAATAAGAGTAATAAAAGTAATAAATTTTTAAAATAGAGAATCCATTCGGATTCGCTATTTTTGGAATTTATTACTCTTATTTTCTATGATTTTGAATAGTGACACCCAAATGACTCTCTTATGACCCCTATATTTCCCTTTCATGAGCCCATAAAATTACCCTATATAAACCTCATATGAACCCATATCACTTCCTATAACCCCATATGAGCCCATATGACCCTCATATTGCCACATCTGACCTCTATATGACTCCAGTATAACCCCATGGGATCCTCATATGACCCGATATGACCCTGTCTCATCCCATATGAGCCCATTATGACACCATATGCCCTCAGATCACTTCCAAATGACCTCATATAACCCCCATATGACCCCGTATAACTTTTATATGACCCCATATAACCCATATATGATCTCCATATGACTTCATATGGCTACTATGCAACTTAATAAAGAGTTATGCTGTTTTCATCATCTTCACACTTCATCGAGAAAGCATCAAAACAATCTTTATGGCACGCCGTGCAATAAGTCGAGTTGATCGCACGCTGCGCTTTGCGCAGCGCGCTTCAAACTCGACTTCTGCACGATGTGGCATAAAATAGTATAGACCACTCGGGTATAAACTTCGTTTTCAACGAATGTGAATACAGACCTCGCCTTTGGCTCGGCCTGTAAACTTCACATTCGTCGAAAACGAAATTTGTGCCCTTGTACTCTAATGTACTATTTTGAACCATGATTCATTTCATTCTGATAACAATTCTTCGACGGAGCGTCAAAAAAACGATTTTTGACAAAATACCAATATTTCACAAACTATGAATAATTCAACTTTACTTGGTGTCGATGAATAGAGCCTATTAACATCTATATCCATGGAAAAATTCATGAAAATTCATCAAGCTCTATAAAGAAAGCTCCTATAAAGAAAAGTGCGAGAAAAATTGAAAAAAAGTACACACACACACACATACATACATACATATTGTAAAATACGTGATATTTGATAAGAATAAATGTTTATTAAAAGAATTTTGCGGCGAAATAAATAATAAAAAGAAATACAAAAAGGATTGACGCGTTCATGGACTAGGAAACAAGATAAAAGAATAACGGGAAAGAAAGAGACGATCGTACATGAAGGTGGTTGAGAGGGAGGAAAAGGGCAAATACGTAACATTACTCCCTCTCTTGAAAAGTTATCGCCCCGACAACAACGCGCTTGTTAAAGGCAATTGTAGTGAACTTTTAGTTAATTAATAACTGAAATGATACTTAAATTATTTGGGGCCTTCAACCCAATTCTCTTCCAAAAACCCAGACGGAAAGTAACAGAAAGAGAGAAAGGTTTAACTCAAAATAGTCTGATTGATCCTGAAGCAAAATTCTTCTCCCTAATAAGGTCCGGAAGGTCCGATTGTCTCTCATGGTTCCAGAGGAATGGGAAGGAATTTGAGGGTTTGGACTGGAAAATAAACTATTATGAACGGCAGAAATCAATTGTTCTAATTAATCCAGAAAAGTTTAAATTAAGTAGCAATCTATTCAGATATTCGCATCAAGAATTAATTTTTGACAAGTATTTCCACACACTAAATTGTCACTCCTAATCTTCTCGGGGATAAATGATTGAATGTAGGGATATCTTCCCGGGGATAAATAAATAAAAATATTCTTCCCGAGGCTAAATGAATAAAAAAAATCGCGATAATAAAAGAAATGAATTGCGATTGACTCAAAAAAATAATCATAAGGATGCAAATACCTGCATAGCGCAATTATTTTCGAAGGCTGGAATATGAATGACTTTCAGCTCAAAATGGAGGAATATTTGAATCCGAAGTAATATTTCGTTCTACGATGTCTGAAAAAGTTTGCAAATTACAATTTTTTAGTTAAACACGATCGCGTAATTATGAATGATAAACGCGGTGGAATAATTATTCCCATTACTTTCAAGCGAGAAATAAAAGTGTCCTTCAAATCACTAATAATCGTTACATTCGTCGCTGGAATTGTTTCAAAATAATATGAAGGAAAGAAAATAAATATGAGGTAGCAAATTTACCTAACTACGAATTTTCGCCAAAAAGTTCATGTTGCGACCATGGCATTGTGATGAATTGATGATTTAATTGAACTTTGTGTGAATGAAGTGAGGGTTTCGAGAACGAATTGTGAATGTGGAGAAGTTGGTTAGGATGAGTTCGGTCAAATGTATTGGAGTGATGTAAAAATGATGGGAGAGGACAGGGAGAAATGGTTTTATCTTTTGTAATTCCTGCGAGTTGATTCCGTAGTCTGTAGACATACTGAATTTCCTAGCTGGTGAGTCGTCATGAAGTTAATATTACTCCCGATTAACGTTTTCATTTTAAGCGCATTCACGGTTAATTTTTCACTAATAAATCACACGTGAGTAGAGAAAAATCGCAACACTTCTGACACCAATGTAAAATACGAGATATTTGATAAGAATAAATGTTTATTAAAAGAATTTTGGGGCAAAATAAATAATAAAAAGAAATACAAAAACGATTGACGTCCGCGGACTAAAAAACAAGATAAAAAAATAATGAGAAAGAAACAGACGATTATACATGAAGGTGGTTGAGAGGGCGGAAAAAGGCGTAACAATATATACATACAGACACCATCTAAAAATCGCATATTTAGACTTTTTAAATCATTCTTAGTTACCCTGACACAAAAATTTAGAAACTTAATTTTGAACGATTACAAAGCTTCCTTTCGGAAGCAAAATACAAAAAATATGAGAATCGCCAGATTTTCGGCAAAACTGGAACCTTTCATGAAAAAAGTTGCTATCTTGAATGAAGTACTTGGATATCCTCAAAGCTTTTTTCGTACTTTAATAATTTTATTAGTCTTTCAATATTTTGAATTTCAGTCAACAAAGAATGTTATTCAATTATAAAAATTTTATCGTCACTTTAGATGATTTTGATTCTTGAAATGAAATGAATGGTTGAGTATTCTTCCCAGTTTGGAAAATGATTACCTGCGCTGTTATCATTATCATGATTAGGAAAACCAGAAGCTATCATCTCCCCTTCTTCATTTTGAGCAAAAACTATAAAATTAATCGTCAGAAAAAACGATAGAAAATACACCACATTAACACTGCGTTCGGAGACCCGGGTCATTCTTCTCTGCGACATTTTTGCCCTTTTTATTTTCGTTTCGTTGCACGAATATGCCATAATCGAGCTATGGATCAACGTTGTTTGCCTCCGCAGCGGAACTTTCTTGCGAATATTCGTGAACTGTAAATTCTCATAATTTCCAGCCTTTTCATTTTTTTCATATCTCTTCTGCTTCTATTATGACTAACTCATAACCAACTTTAATATTTTTCAATTGAATTTTTTTCACGATAAAAAGTTTTATATTTCCGAAAATGTGACTCTTTTCATACTATTCATTTCAATTTTTAGAGTCAAAGAGTTGTTCTCCATTAATTTAGGATATGTTAGCATGGTAACACAGTGATTTGAACTTGTTACTGAAAATTGAAAAAAATTTATCGATGTGTAGTCTATTATATAGAAAATATCCCAGTCCACTCAAACATATATAACATTCATCTTTCCTGTGCCCATTTTGAATGGCTTGCCAACAATTACGTAGATTGTTCCCCTCCCCTCCCTCTTCTGCCAGTATACTTCACCACTATTCCCCTCAACACTTCAATCACTCTGTAAAATTCACCAATGTCGTTGCACTTTAATATCCAATTTAAAATATATATTATTCATTTCAACACACCGCACCCATGCGTCTGTATTGGCATACACCTTGTCTTGCGCGAAGTCCTAGACATTACATCGATTACCGATTAACATCGTCGGTATGTCCGTGTTACTAAACTAGTGGGTTAACATGTTTCAAAGTAGAAAAAAACAATATTAATTCCATATGAATAAATCAACTCTTTTGATCTGGAAACGTCCACTAATTCTTGAGTCAATGTAAAAGAACTTATTATCACTGACAGAATTTAGTCGATACCCATCGATGAACGGTAAAATGTGCAATTTTTCTATATAAGAATTGCCATCGTCCCAAAAATTCTTCTTTGTTTACGAGAATCGTGTTAGAATCAAGCAACACAGATGTACACAACAGTGTCAATGCCAGTGCACAAACATTCACTGGGATGAGTCACTCACGCTAGCGTTCAGTCACTTGCTAGGTGCAATTGTTGTATGCCACGTTAAATATCACTTCTGTCATTTCCTTCGAGTTATAAAAGAATGATTATAAAATTATCATTGGCATTTTTTCAACAAATAACCACTAAATGAAAATCACGTGCGCATTATTTCAGCGTCACGTCCCTGTCTTGCAGTGATTGAGAAATTGATGAACACGGACTACAGGCACAAATTCATCTACATCCTTCTACATATCATATGTGTCCCTGAAAGAACTACTGAACCACCCGCTTTAACGAGTGAGAACCAACAAAATAAGTTAAGATTCATTAGTACACACGGCTCCTGTAGCTATCAGGCGTTACATACTGCCAGAATATTCCATTCGTAGAACATTGAGAAAGGACTACGGGAAGCACCCCGGTAACGTCCGTATCACATCCACGAATTTACTAACAGAGGCCCATGAGTTATAGTGGAAAATGCACTGATCGTTGACAGCAAATCTGGTGGTGTATTTTAGAGGTTCTTATTATATCCACTAGCTTATTCCTCGTACAGGAATCATTGATAGTTCCTTAATAATGTTAATTGAACGCTTGTTTGTCCCATTTTGGTTCGTATGAAAACATTCATACAGTTGTATTGAATTTATGCGATCTTCGAGAAGAACGTTACGCGTTGCTACGCACTGCGCGAGAACATGAACTGCCACGGATTGGATGGCAGCTCACTGGAAACAATGAAGAATATGGCTGGAGCTGGGACGCCGAGACGAGGGGAAGTTTCCAGTAGCGTAGGGAGCGTATGCAATACCTTGCGCAACTGGTTTTGCTTCCAATTGGAAGCAAAGTAATCGTAATTTTTTTCTATTTCCTAATTCTGGAGGAAAATCAATACTGTACTAGAAATGTCGCGAAATACGAAAAATAGTACATTGGGCATCAAGGGCGGAGAATCAAGACTTTCCGCCCGAAGTGCACATGCGATTTTTTAACACGCCTGCAAAGGGAACTTCGTATTTTGCTCTTTGATGAGCGGGAAGAAAGTCAGTACTTTCCACCTTAGGGCGGAAAGTGCTCACTTTCCTTCCGCTCATCAGAGAGGAAAGTATGAACTTTCCGTGCAGGAGTGTGAAAAATTATATTGTTAAAAAATGTCACCATGAATGTGTGTTCGCATGTGAAGAGTTGTGTTAATAACTCGAGAATGAGTAACTCAGAGATATTGAAATTTCGGCTTCTAATTGGTCCTACTGAGACTCAAATTTATGCTAAATTTCAGCTTGATTGGTTAAGCGGTTCCTGGGATATAGCGACTGCTCAAAAATCGATTTATGCAGATATCTTCTAAACCATTGGACCGATTGATTTTTTTCAAAATACTCGTCATGATGATACCGTTAAATCGAATTCGAAATCGATTTCGTTAAATCGAAATAGTATATTTCTAACCTAGGGAGGGAAAATAAAGGATCCTCAGCCGCCAGTGCAATTACCAGCCGAGCCGAAGGCGAGGTTGGTAAGCACGCGGCTGAGGGTCCTTTATTTTATTTCTCGTGGTTAGAACGCGATTTTCCGTCTCGGCGTAGGCGCAAAGTCAGAGTTCCCTCCCGCGAAGCGCCCCCCGGGACGGAAAGTTACATTTCTCTCCCGCTTCGCGGGAGGGAACTCTGACTTTGCGCCTACGCCGAGACGGAAAATCGCGTTCTAACCACGAGAAATAAAATAAAGGACCCTCAGCCGCGTGCTTACCAACCTCGCCTTCGGCTCGGCTGG